AACCAGAAAGGAAAAGAGAAACACAACCACCAAAACATCAGCCGCACTGCATCAACAACACAACTGTTGAAATGAATATGAATGAATTGTGAGGCATCTGCAGGATCCGAGGGGGGACGGTATTAAACGGTATGTCGGATTCAGGTGGCATTTAACACATTAATTTTTTGATTAATTTTTTAATGCTCTGTCAGGGCCATTTTAGATGCAGGGTTTAAGGTCAAATTTGGTATTTGAAGGTAGCAATAGTCACTTAGCAATAGTTTTTTAAAGGTAAAAAAAAAATGTCTGTAGATTTGAGATTATTGATTACTAATGCAACCTTTAGATACTTCTATTCAATGCTTTACTAATGTACCACAGTAATGAGAGATCAAATATCTTCATTTGGGGGCTTTTCCAAGCAAATAGTCATATATGTGATATATCTATATGTTTATGATTAAATTGGCTTAAAGTCTCCATGCCACACTCTGGTCCACCCCATTAATATTTCTCCACTTCTTTTACTGGTACTGCAAGCTACAGTGCATCAACAAATGTATTAAATTGGCCCCAAATTCAATGAAATGTTATATATATCACATAAAATATCATCACCAGGCTTTGTGCTAAGCTAGGCTAAACACTTGCTGGACCTACAGATGGGTGATAAATTAAAGGGAAACAAAACATAATGTATTATCCTTTATTTAGTGCTTTTGATGATAATGGTAGAGAGTGCTGTCTAACACATTGGTGCAAAATCTCTCATAGGTGTTGAGTTTGGTTGATATCAAGTGACTGTGATTCTCAACAACAACCTGTTCAGTGACCTATGGCATCCCCTAATGAGGGATCTGGATTTGAAATGTTCCTTTAACTTGACACCCATCTTTATGATTGTGCTGGACACATATAGATGAAACTAATATCAGCTTTCAATTATTTATTTATATTCTGCATGTTTTTATTAGGGGTGTAAGACAATATTTAAAAATATATATCTGCAGTATTTTATTTTATGATATTGTATCGATTCTCAAAAACACTGTATTGAATTTTGTGTTTAAACACCCAAATGCTAGATAGCAGTGTTGTACACATAAACCGTGGGGTTTCAGATTGTATGCATAAGGTTATTGTGTTCTTTATACTATTAAAGCTTTACTCAAATTAGATTTAAAAATAAGAAAATTGAAACATATTACCTAGCTTTACAGTATCACAAAATATTGCAATATACTAAATCATAACCCCTGTATCGTGATACGTATCATATTGCCAGAATCTTGCCAATGGACTGCTAGTTTTTATCCTTTGACCATATGTATGATAGAAAGTAAGCTCAATACCTGAGCCAGTGGGGAGTATTTACTTCATTTCTAAATGTGATCAATATGAAATTTTATGGGAAAATAGTGAAGATTTAGCCTTTATTTTTAATATGTTATCGCTGATATTACCTGTGAACCCTCAGCACCAGTTGAAAACCAGTTTTTGGTAACACTTTATATCAAGGTACACATATTCACCATTAATGTATTGTATTAATGTATTAATTTATTAATGCCATATCTTGCAAAACCATATTCTACAACTACTAGATTACAACAACTTTTTAAGTTAATGGTATAATAGTTGAATATGTTTCACTTGGGGAATTGGGAATGGGGAACACATTCTGAGCTGGGAAAGACTTAATTTACAGTTATTCAGACACTATTTACGCTTGTAGTTTTGGGTGTTTTTACATAAGAATAGATAGAAGTATTATTCATGAACTACCACTTCCTTACTTACTATCAATAAGCAGTAATTCGGAAGTTATTGAGGGAAAACTCTTAGTTAATAGCCTAATAGTTTTAGAATATGGTCATGCAGAATATGGCATTAATAAATGTTTTATAATGACTAGTAAAAAGCCAAAATTGCATGCTAATAGGCAACTAGTTAACAGTGAATATGTGTACCTTATTATAAAGTGTTACTGTGTTTTTTTTACCTTGTTTCAAAAAAATAAAGATTAGAGGCAAAAAACACTTAATTCTGTATTTATTTTCACACATTTATCTTGCGACTCCCTGGAGGCTCCTGGTTCAGGACTTCTCTCACATTCAATATCAGCATCACTAACTTCTTACAACTCTGAGACTTGGACTTGCTGATAATGCTCAATGCTGGATACTCCAAGTCAGATGATATGTTGCTGATATAAAACTGTATTTAAATGTATTAAATATAGATATATTGTTTGTTTGTATAGATAGATAGATAGATAGATGGAGAGATAGATAGATAGATAGATAGATAGATAGATAGATAGATAGATAGATAGATAGATAGATAGATAGATAGATAGATAGATAGATAGATAGATAGATAGATAGATAGATCTAATATAATATTGTTTGATCTTAACTTAACTTATTTTGAATGAAACCCAGACAGAGCTTTTAGCTTTTTTGTTTTTAGATTTTTGGTGAGTGTTATATAATCTGACGAAGTGACGTCCTTCTGCTGTTTCCTGCATTCACAATAATTTGACGTACAGCTGAAAAATTGCAATCAAACAGATCACATTTGTAATTCATTTAAGAAGAGCTCCATATGATAATTTTTGGGGAAATGTGTGAAAGGAATTTATCAGAAGTTTCAAAACCTGTGCTGCTTAAATTTGATCAAATCTCCTTTAAAAGAAAAGAAAATCTGCTGCTACTGTGTGTTAAAATGTTCAGCAATATATTGGTTTAAGATCACAATCTTAAACCTGATTTTGGTTACTTTTGTTGTTTTGTTGTGCGTGACACTACTTTTGTCTGTTGCTGATGTGAAATATTTGGACATGTATCAACCGCACGTCACACCGCACTCATTGTATGCCCTCACTATCTTGCCCTCACTTGACTGCTTTCCCTCAAAACATTCTGTGATCCCACATATTCTTAATAAGTCTTTTTCCTTGTTTCACCCTGCAATGATCCCAGTTATAGGATTTTGGTGTAAAACACTAAGATTTGTGCTTACCGTATCAGTTTGGTGCAGCTTGCCTCTGTCTTCCTTTTCTTCGAGGGAGATGCTTTGAAATGATTCAGGGGGAGTTTTCCACAGGAAATATGGTTTTCAGCAACTAAAACAAGACTGCATAATTTAGGTGCGAAACACAAGAGAAAAGAGGCAAAAAAGAAGAAAAACTGAAAAGAAAACAGAGCAGGTGTACTTAAGAATAAGATCTAAACATATATTGTGTGCATTTTTGGAAAGCTTGAATTTATTCTTTTAGTTTTAGTCCAGTTGTTTGTAAGAAAAAAACATTTAAATCTAAATGTCAAACTATCTTACTATCTTGTCTTAAAACTGTTGATGCCAGTATTGACACTAGAATGAAGGTACACACTCACCTGATGGCAGTCTCAAAGGAAGAGGGCACAGCTAAAGCTGTGAGATATCCACAGTATTTATACCAGAGAAGCAGACTGGCCCTCAGCAAATCAAAACACAACAAGAAAACTGCAACCAAAACTTTACACTTTCCAACCTGAAAAAATATGTGTTTTATAGCAAGGCAGAAATAACGAAAAAGTTGTCTTGGTTCCAAAGTTCATATGGGCCCTGGGAAAATAATGACTTTTTCCACCTGAGAACACATTTAACCTACTTAATTAATACAGATGTCCTTTCATCAGCAGTGATGCTGTGCTTTCAGTAAACAGGTCCTTTAATTTAGGTAAGTGATTTTAGTCTAACCTTCCAAATTGATGATATTAAAATAAAATAAGTTGCTTATTAAAGTTGTTGCTCTTTTTCTCTAAATGGGACTTTTCTTTGAAGCATGAACAAAACAAAATATGTATGGCACTAAATCGTAAAACAAGTTATCTCAGGACATGTTTCATATAAACCAGGTCTAGACCAAAATTAGTTCTCTGCTGCTTTTCAAATAAAGATGTGTTTCTCTTACTATTCAGATCAATTAAACCACATATTTTTTTTCCTGCCTTCCAGACATAAGTCACAGTCACATGTTCATATTCAGTGTGTGAAGGTCCTTTAAAGGGTTGCTTCAGCAGAATTACAAAAAAAATTCTAAACTTACTTCTAGTAGGAATAAATTTGAGTTTCTACTGACACATCACCAGCCCAGTACGGTGGAGGTGAATGGAAATTGCTTTTGTGAGTGCTGAAAAAAATGCCAGTAGTGCGTTCTCTGTCACAGAGTTCACTGTGAATAGTTTTCTGAAAATGTGGTTCCATTTTCTGAAGCTCTTTCTCATCAGAGAAAGATGTCGAAGAAACATTTCCTTTAGTCACTGACTTTTGTGATGTTTAACCAAGACCGCCATCTTTCTCTAAATGTATGCTTTAAGTTGCCTAAATAGAACCATAAAACACGCAGCATTACATTTCTCTAAAAACATAGCAACTATTGCTAATTAGCTATATTTAGGATATATATATAGGATATATATGTGCTCAGATTTAAGCTAATCTCACAGATTCACAGAGGAGGAATTCAGGTGTTGCAGCAGCACAAGGACAGAAATAAGCACAGTTAAAAAAGAGTCAAATAAAAGTATAAATAGAAACAATGAAAGTACTGAACTACTGTATACTGAACTATCATACCAATTTAAGCAGTGTCAGGGCAGTAATTATAATATTTTTAATATAAATTGGGGGGAATATACAAATATTCTCAAAATATATTGAGAATATTGATAAAAAAAATAAAAATTGCTATGCTACAACAGGCAACCATCTGACATAATCATAAACAAATGTAATCATAATCAGAACTAAATTTAACAACTTTCCATTATCATTACTACCACAGTATTACACTGTTCTGCAGCAGGGGTGGATCTAGAGCGGTGGCATTGGGTGGCAGCTGGCACACCTAAAAATTGTTTGCTGTTTGTTGTCAAATGCTGTCAAATTGAACATGTTATTTTAGATTAATTTAAATAATAACGTGTTCACAAAACAAAATTCATTGAATGAACTGTTATGGCTCTATTTTAGGCTAAGTGACTTAAGTTCAATGAAACAAAACAGCAGCTCAGAGGCAGAGTTGGTTGTCCACTAATCGGAAGGTTGGCGGTTTGATCCCTGGCTCCTCTTGCTGCATGTCGAAGTGTCCTTGAGCAAGATACTGACTCCCTGTAAGTTGAGTATACTTTAAATTACTGCTTTTTCCCAGACCACAAATTTTCCTCTCTGGGTTTTTTTTTCTGCCTTGTGTTCATTTCAAGCTGAATGTGATCCCATTTTTCTGAATTCCTGACAATCTTGAAGATAGTGTGGGAAGTAAGTTTTTCAACCATACAGACAGTAAGGGCTCACTAACTCATTCAATCTGAACTCTTTAGCTGCTTAATTTGTTTGGCTTAAGTTTTGAGAAACTGTCGAACGTAAGTGATGTAAGCTGGAAACAGTGCATCATGTTTGCAGCTCGGAAGTAGCTTCCATGTTGAGTACATTGGCCAACTGTATTTCAATGTGTTTTCGTGTGAACAGTGAGAGAAAGAATTTAATGACTGTACTTTCTGATCCCACAAGCACAGGATGATGAGGTGACAATTCTACTTTGATTCTCGCTGACGAGGTCATTTGACCTGCAAGTGTACTGTAAATGATGTGATTCAGAGTGAAAATCATATTGTCGATATGCCAATGATTCACTTCTTCCTTCACAAAGGTGCGGGATGTGAGGGCTTACTCAGCTGATTCTACTCAGACTGGGGAGGAGTATATGTTTCATTAGAGGTCAACCTCTGCCAGTGTCAATGACATTTTATAATGAAAGTCAAAAATGCAGAAAACAGACTTTTGTCAGCTTTTTTCTTTACATCAGGTCCTTCTGTGGTTTAAATAATGCCAAAAGCAACCGCAATTCTGAGGTTGGTATACATCTTCGCAAATTTACACTATTTATATCCACTTACAGTAAAAAAAATAAAATAAACTGCAGTCTATATAACAGCCCTGCGATAATTCCTCCCTTTATAAAGGTCATAAACAACAGATCATTAGACCATAAAATGATTTTAGAAGATGTATTTTGGATCATTTCTCTACAGTCAAGCAATAATAAACAAGTGTTGCCTGGTTAGACAATCCTTTCAGGATTTTGCAGGCTTTTTGGTGGATTGTTGCGGCCTAAAATGTCTGTTTTCACTGCAGTTTTTTTAATGTTTTTCTTGTATAATTTATCAAGAATCAAAGGCAAAGGCTTGTTCCAGTGAGAATAAACTCAAACTGTTTGGACATACAGGGTAAATGTAAGACATCTGCATCTGTCTGTATGGTCTGTGTCTTCGCAACTAGAAAAAAGGAAGCAAGTTTGCTGCAAAATTGTGCAGGATTCATGAGAATTGGTTGACTTTGCATTAATTGTTGCGATTGCAACATCACTACTTCCTCGGAGGAATGGTAAGACTCAAAATTAAGATTGCGTGGTTAACATTGTGAAACGGTCACAATTTGGTTAGGTTTAGCCACAAGAACTACTTCGCTGGGAATAGTAAATAGATTGGTAGATTGTAAGTTACATTACGTACTTGGCGAAACTTAAGGTACATGAATAAAACAGAACTTGCTGCATTACGTAGTGAATTTACATACATTACTTACCATTAACAGTGGTGTCCTGTTTCAAAATCCTGTGTTTGACTGAGCCATCCATCCAGACTTTAAAGGTGGGCACATCCAGAAATTTCAGGAGATAAATATTGCACTCATCACTGTGTACTATATAAGAAAGTAGCACTTTGATACCCCACCAGTAAATACCAAACTTGGTCAGACTGCTTTTCAGTACTATGCACCATATAAATGGAATGAATTACATATGACATTAAAACTTGAAAGTTTCATCCCATGAGAGGAATGTAAACTTTTCATGTTTTTAGAGATGTGTGCGAGTGTTTCTGATGATGTTCATATGTGCTTGTATGTGACTGACTGTGTTTTGTTTGTTTGTCTGTCTTATCTTTTTTTATTACTCTCTTATCTCAGTGATTAAAGGAAGGTTTCGAAAAGTTGTAGTAAATCATAATTTTAGATCATCTGACTGCTCGTGTTTCTTGCACCACCCCACCTCTTTAAAGCGATGTCCACATGTTCCCAGATCTCAGCAGTTAACTTAGTGAAACAATTGTCCTGTTAAGTACAGTACAGTGCAGTGCTTACAGATTTTAATATATTATTATTATTGTGTGTGTGCTGTGCATTTATAATACATATCAGCGATACAGTTAACTTACACCAATGGTGATGAAACTAGTAAAACCATAACGAGGCTTGGCAATTCACTTAAAAACAATGAGAAATACCAGTTTTAAGGCTTTCTGTAAAGTATTTGTTTTTAGATGCTTTTCAATAATGAATGTCTCATTTATGTTTTAAAGGCCACAGAAAATAATTTCCTGCTGTCAGAATGATTGTTCTGTGTAAACCCATCATCTCAGACATTTTCAGTATCAACAACCTCAAATGGTACACCAATACATTTTTTGAAGAGGAAGCATTATAGCAGCAAGCGGCGGGGAAGCCCAGTAACATGCTGTATGACATTCTAACAGGTGTAAACAGCTTGTTCTGAGGTTATTTTTTGTGTTGTCAAAGGTCATCTCACCTAACAGAATGCCACTGAGGCATAACGGAAGCCTGAGTCCTTTCGAATCTCGATTTCCTTTTGAAAGTTTTGCCATTATTATTAACCTTATTAGGTAACCTGTGTTTTCAGGACTTCATGCTGCACCTTTTTGTGCACCTCTTTTTTTCCTGCATGTGTTTCTTCTGTATATTACAACAGCTACAAATTCAATTCAATTATGCACATCAGATGCACCAGATGCAGTATTAAATTTGATGGAAGGCTTTATAGTTACATTTAAAGATTCCATTTTTTGCCTTATGCAATATTTAACAACTGCTTTTGCATCAATATGCAAAGAGCCAAACTCCTACCTTGAAAATGCCATCCTTACACACTTGAATTAGCACACCTGTCAAAGCTTATTACTAAACTTAAATATCACTGAATCATTTTTAAACATTGCTGTGCAGAGCAGGATAACAACAGTGTTTGCCATTGCTTTGATGCATCAATTCCACACATGCAGTCAGTTGTGATAAACAAAACTATGAACCAAATTTTATATTTATTTTTTTTATCTGCTCCTGTCTTGCCAGTGTCATTTAAATCAGATCATAGATTGTCATCTATATCCAGTCCTGGACACAAACTCTGGACTGTAGTGTGACAGTCCTAGACTTTGTACTTCCACCACCCACCCTAACCACCTCCCTCCTCATGAGCCTACCACATTACATTAATGAAGTGTTTCAAAAACACTGCATAAAACATAATCTAAAGAGAGATAAGAATCACATAATCAGGATACAACAAAAGGGTAACTGAAATCCATTACAGTTACAGAAAAATGTGTAATTTAGTAAAAATGAATGATATATTACCATGCATAACACTTCTCAGGTCTCACAACAGCACTCTGGTCTCAGTGAAACCATAACTAATCTTTCACTTACAATTCATTATCATGGCCTCTGGAGAAAAAAATGCTTTCACTGGGTGTAAATTTCACCATTATTTTGTCTTTAAAGCAGAAAAGGAAACAACATCACAGTGCAGTGCAGGTTCTGCCTTTCAGCTGTGAAAATGCTCTACAGGCTACTACCTGAATTTCCTTCATGGAATTTTTTCTTCAAAAATACACTGAGCTAAAAATCTTGGTTTCCTTTTTCTTCTCTAAGGTCACATTGTTCTGTTGTCTTATAGAGTATACATCATTTTATTGATATTTCTTTTTTTCTTGTCTGTATTTGAATATTTGGTGTTGAAGTTATCCAAAAGTAACCTTTTTAAAAGGTAATCAGTAATTGTATTGGACTACATTTTTAAAGTAACCCTTCCAACCCTGCAGCTAATTTCCTTTAAAAAATTGTCCCACCTTACATTTGCTCGCCCCAACATAACTGCTGCCTCCTCTACTTTCTCTGCCTCCATTTCTTTCAGCAAACAGCAGGCATCCATGTGACTTCTGATCACAGAAGCAGACGTTTTGTACATCTGCATGTTTTCACACAGTTAATGAACAACAGGACTTGGCATTGACACTTTTGTGAACCATGTTTTCAATGTGATGATTGTGTGAAAAGACAAGAGAGCTGTGTGAGAAGAGCCAGATTTCATTCAAAGTTACAACTTTTTTCACAATTGCTAACTCACATTTCTCAATACTGAGTTCACTCAGAAACTCCTCACACAGTCAGCACAACAGTGTGGAAAACTGTGGATCACTTGCTTTCAGACAAAATGCATTCAGTCTTTCAAATTTCATGAACTGATCTCACTCAAACTCACCACTAACAAAACTATCACTGCATTCAGAAACGCCTACTAGATACTACTGATGAACACAGTATGGAGTATGCAGTTTGAAACTGTTAAATAGATTTATTTTGCAGTATGCTAGACCACGCTCAACTGCTTTCTGGTTTTGGAAAGGGGACGCAAACAGCAGCATAGCTAATGGCAAACCACCACTACTGTGTATCCTCCCATTATGTTCTAAAACAAGAGAAGTTATAAATGTGAATTTTCATGACCCATAGATGAACATTAAACTGAGAGGTGATTAACGCCTATCCAACAATTGGAAGGAACCAGATTCACCAGTGTTTGGTTGCATTACTTCACTGCAAATTAGTACCACTTTACAATAAGGGACATAGCATTTTGAGTAGTTACCAGGAAACACATGATGAACAAATAAGGAACAAAGTGCTGGTGAATAATTACTTCATGAGTAACTCCTAATCAAATTTTATGGAGTAGCTAATGATTAGTTAATGATTAGTTGATTAAGAAAAAAGTGAGGAATGAATCAGGAACAACTTGATAATTTATGATTGTTAATAAGTAGTTCCTTAATAATTCTTATGGAGAACTACATAGTAGATAATGATGGGTTTCTAACAGACTGGTTGATCCTATATTAATTATCAAGTAATGATTAGTTCATGAATAGCTGTGAAACAATCATACTGACCACTTCTTTAACTGTTTTTTTGGCCCCTAATTTAAAGTGTTGCATCATTCTGACTGGTGTCAGGTAGTTTTTCTGCCTAAACCTAA